CTTCTCTTTTCCATTTTGTAATTGGGGATTATGCTTAGCTAGTGCTAGTCTGTACATGTATGGATCCGTCCATGCATGATGCATCTTTCAGCCGAGCGCCTGTAAAAAGATAGACCACTATCGATCCATCCATCCATCTATATGTTATGCAAATCTTGTTCATAAGAAGAAAAAGGGTTCACAAAAGTCATGCAAGTCAGATTATATATACGTACACTCGCAATATGCAGTATGAATGATTGATTGCTTTTCTAATTTTCATGTTGCAAAGTTCGTTGGCAGATGGCACCCAGACGGTAAAGTAAATAAAATTCTCGAACGAAAAAGATAGTAAAGTAAAGTAGTGCATGGGTGTTGCATCGTAGTAGGTTGTATCCTTTTGTTTTCCCTGATCTTTTATACAACTAGGAAGTAGGAACAGAAAGAAATGCAGATGTAATATGCATGTTCTACTCTCCTCAGGTCGGCTCGATCACGTCCGTGGGTTCAAAAGGCCGGCCCAGTTACTACTACAAGTGTACTCCCTCCGGTCCTTTTTAGTTCGCATGTAAGATTTGACTGAAGTCAAGCCTCGTAAAGTTTAATCAACTTTATAGAAAAAAGTACCAACATTCACAATTTGAAATCAATATTAATAGATGTGTCATGACTTAAAGTTTCATATTGTATAACTTTAGCATAATAGATGTTGATATTTTTTCATATAAATACGGTCAAACTTTGTGAAGTTTGACTTCAGAGAATTCTAATATGCAGAGTAAAAAGGACCGGAGGGAGTACAACCACAGTTACTTTTCTACTTGTATCAGTCGATAGTTGATTGAGTTGTGTATGTAGGATATTGATGTATAGATATTCGTGGGTGGGAGAAGATCAATTCAAGGTAGAAGGAAACATGTATTGATTGATGTATGCTGGTGCCAGGAGCTCATCACTCACTTGGATACGTTGCAAAAAAACCCGTAGTACTATGTGTATACGTACATATATAGGGAACGTACGTACTACACATGTCGGAATAAACGGCCAGGGCCAGTAGGCCTATAAATAAACCGGATCCCGTTTAAGCTCGCTCACTTATGGTCACAGTTCAATAAAGTTCTTTTCGAGCTAGCAAAAACCTAAATAAATAAATGGGACTTGCAGGCGTCGTTTATTTGCCATTAATTTACGCCAGACATATATGGGATGGATTGGATTGCGCCTGGCCCTGCTGCATGCATCGCATGGCGCCTCTTCTCTCCAAATTATTTTTGTTTTGCTTTTTGTCATGTGCAGATGGATCGATCAAGCAGTTGCTGCTTTAATAAATAAATAAAGTAAATACATAAACAAAAGAGATTTTGTTCGAGGGAGCAAATTGTCCTGTCACGTTCGACCACTAGCCACCGAGCTGACAGCCATCAACACCAAGATATAAAACACAAGCAGGCTGAATTATATTAGAGCAAAGCAGAGATGTCTCTCTTCTTGTTGTTGAATTGGTGGTGGTGGTGGTGGCGGCACGTTCATATGCATGCTGAGAAGGTTACTGTATTTGTTCTCGCATATATAGCTTTATTAATTTGCTCAATCGCCTGCATGCAAAACATATACCGTTATCAGACTATATATGTAGCTTGTTGATAAGATTTTTTTTTCTTAAAAGAAAGAAAATCAGATTATATTTACCATTATTATGACGTACGCACGTTGATTGGTTTAGTTTAGTTTTCTGGCAAGGCAATTAAAATTGAGTAGTTAGTTTTTTGTGGAAAACTTTGAGTGGTTAGTTGATTAGTTATGTGCAGGTAGTTGGCAACCAGTATGTATATAAAGTAAAGTAAAGTAGTGTAGGTGTATGGTGGGGTGTAATTGCATGGAAAGGGAAGGAGAAATATACCTGCCTAGCTACCTATTATATGGGTTGATCAAAGCAAAGGTTCTTTGTGTCTTTCTGCTGTTTACATGGTAGGCAGCGAATATATTCTATTCCAGCTCTACATGTGAATTTGCTAGTTATGTACCACGTACGTACAGGTGGCGGCCAGGAGGAGCTTGGCCGGTCCGGAAAACATTTTATTTATTCATTTTCAATCATGATAGTACAACAAACACTAGAAATAATAAAAATTACATTCAGATCCATAGACCACCTAGCGATGACTACAAGCACTGAAGCGAACCGAAGGCACACGACTATCATCGGCCCTCCCTCGCCGGAGCCGACAAAACTTGTTGTAGTAGACAGTCGGTGCATCCTTGCATGATGCATCTTTCGGTTGAGCGCCTGAAAAAGATAGATCACTATCCATCGATCCATCTATATGTTACCTAAATCTTGTTGATAACTAAGAAGAAAAGGGTTCACGAAAGCCAAATAAGTCAGACTATATATGTGTGCGTGTACACTCCCAATATGCATTATGAATGATTGATTGTTTTTCCTTTCTTATTGCAAAGTTGGTTGGCATGGCATGCCACCCAGACGGTAAAGTAAAGAAAGGAACTAGAAGTAAAGTAGTGCATGTGTTGTATCATAGTAGTTGCATCGCTCAAAGGAAAGGGGAGATACATGGCACACCCCCGGGTTCGGGCGTGGGTAATGGTCACTCAAACCCATACCGTCTCAATATTTTCTGCACAAACTTATACCCGTACCCGCACTTCGGGTTTCAAACTATTCTCATACCCGTACCTGGCCGGGTGCGGGTAATACCTCTGGTAAATATACCCATCTCGGCCATCTTACTCAATTCACACTTCACCATGTATTTTTCAGCATTTCCACATAAATAGAATATTTTAGCATGTATACTTCAACATTTGTCAGCACATAGTATACCACATTTTAGCATTTCAGCACATATATATATCACAATTTGTTGTGCGATGGAATAAAAAGAATGGTATTAATTTTCCGAAAAAGGGTTTCCTCCCTCTTTATATTATAAAGCCATCGACCAAGCATCCAACACAAGAGTACAGGTACCAAACAAGTCAACAAGTCATGCTGGGGGCACAGCGAAACAAGCCCCAAAAAAGAATGATATTAATTTTCAGAAAATGATAGAAATAAGCACGAATTAGATGGCACTAGACAATATTTAATTATATTCAAGAATGAGTAGCTTGTAAGTGAACTTTTTAGAGACACATTCACATCAGTTCTTTCTTCTTTTCCCCATTACAAGACAAACAAGAGGACTATTCTTTTTATTCAAGATACTTGTGTAGCCCCTACTTTGAAATGATCGAGTGAAGGAGACTATATAATAAGATCAACACAATCAGAGATAAAATCATAGATTCATAAAACAAATATCGAGACATTTAAACAAGATCACGCACATGAGCAAGGGAAGGGGATTTTGGGTCGAGGATAGCTGCCGCGTTAGCCAGATAAAGCGGCTTTTTTTTTGGATGACACATGAGACATACCTATTTTTCTCAAACTATTGCCTCAATAGAAGTTTTACCCGTCAGGTTTATGGGTTACGGTTACCCATTGCCATGTTAAGGTCATAAGTACGCAGTGGCATCGATCGGTCGTCCAAAGCTTCCTTGATCTTTTTTCTTCCCTGATCATACAACTAGCACTACTTTTGTACTTGTATCAGTTGAGTTGTATGATTAGTACGTCCAGCACATGTATGAATTACCGGAGCAGGAAAAATATCGTTAGAGAATCCAGGGCCTGGCGTCTCAAAACACCTGGGCATGCTGTCCGGTCATAAAAATTTGATCTACCTGGGCCCCTTAAATCGGCCTCGAACGCCTGGACGAATCGGCATCTCTCATATTCAACCCAAATCTGAGACAAATATAGAGGCCCGTGCACGCCCGCCACGTCGGACTGACGGTCAGATTCCATACGAGAACACACTCTGAAACCCGGCGGTCCGAAGCTCATCTCCTCCGTTGGACTGATGGTGTTGAGTGATGTCGCACAGGTGGAGCACATAGTGCCCTAGCACGGCAATTTAACTGACCACCGGCACCGAAACCCTACCCGTCCACTCCTCCTCTCTCATCAGCCCCCGCCGCCGTTTTCCACTCGTCGTCCGCCATCAGTAGTAGCCATGACAGCACGCCGTCGGGTAAGGATCTACCTATATCTAACATCGGAACGCCGGCTTCAGCTTCTTGAGCAGATTTGGGCAAGGCGCGAAGACCGGATCGCCGCGAGGCTACCTCCAAACACAGTGTATTCCGAGGAGGAGCATGACGGGGGTGAGGCAGATCTGCAGGCAATCCTCGATTCGCTCCAGTCGGAGGCGAAGGCCAACCCCATAACCCACAAGAGGTGCCGTTGCCGGATGCTCGTGTATATGGAGAAAGAGGAGGAGCCGGAGCCCTCGTACGCGCCTATCTACCCAGCGTCTGGCATGAAATGAAGGTATCTCGGACAAGAAAGCGTAGTGGCTAGCGTGACTTGTAATTGTCCGCGGCTCTTGGCTCACCCCCGTCAAAGGTGGTGAGCGTGTGAAAGGAAAGAAATGCCAGGAAACACATCCACGCGTGAAGAAAGACAAGAGGGTGGTCACATGGGCGCCACGTGGAAGTGGGCCCCTCTGCTCTGCTCTGCTTTATTATTTTTTGTTTTTGTCTTTTGGCATGTGCATGTGCAGATGGATCCATGGAGCGGTTGCTGCTTTAATAATACTCCCTCCCTCCCTCCCTTGAAAAAATATATATAAGTATTTTAGTTGAAACAAACAAAGCTAGTGTAATACTCTAGCATATAAGTAATAATAATAATAAATTGATAACATGATGAGATGTTGTTGGAGGTATGGAATTATTTGGCTTGTCACGCTCGTTGGCCGTCGACCTCATATGAGCTGCTTCTTCTTCTTCTTCTTCTTCTTCACAGTCACATCATATATAAGTGAAGAGCAGAGCAGAGCATAGCACACAAGGAAGCAAGTAAGGAAGAAGGCCGGTTGCCGTTCCCACGCCGTCACATTCCCCGTCCGTCGCTCTTCCTTCTTCCTCCCGTCCCGTGGCTGGCTGTATGTATGTATGGTAGGTATGTGTCCTCTTCATTCCCCTATCCTGTTCAATTCCTCACCTGCTCTCCTCTTGCTCATGTCTCTCTCTCTCTCTCTTTCTCATGATAGAGAGAGAAAGAGAAAGAGAGAGAGTACGGATGCATGAATGGATCCTTCCTCCTCGCTCAACATAATCTGATCCAATCTACAGTACACTATTAATTGTTTCCTTCTCCAGTCCAATATAATCTAATCCAAGCTCAGCATTTGTATTCTTCTTACTACTATATATATATATATATATATATATATATATATATATATATATTATTATTATTATTATTATTGCTCTCACGAATGATGAATGAATGAATGAATGAATGAATTAGCACTGCCACTCCAATTTGCCAGGCCGGCCATTAGTAGTAATCATACTCTACTAGTCACAAGCACCACCATGACAACTAATCACACTCTACTAGTCAGTTCTTGATTTGATACACATACACCACCATGAATCGGCCGGCCAGCCAGCGCTGCAAATCATAACCACCACCAGCAGCAGCTCATTCTTGATTTCTTATCCTGCCTGTATGCAAACTGTATAAAAGCTCTGTAACAGTTTCTTTCTTTCTTTCTTTCTTTCTTTCTTTCAGTTGCAAGTTGCAACAATGCTCTTTCATCTTCATCTTGTACATCAAAGGCCAACAACATGACAGCCCCTGCTGCCAGCAACCACCTTCTTCACCCAACAACAGCAGACCCATCCCAGTCCCAGCCCAGCTTCAGAGCAAACTCAGCAGCAGGCCTCGGGGTCAGAGAGATCACGCTACCCAATGGCGACGTCTACTCCGGCACGCTCTCATCATCATCATCATCACATTCGCAGCAGGTGCCCGAGGGCACGGGCCGCTACGTCTGGGCCGCCGGCAGCTGCTGCGTGTACGAGGGCGGGTGGAAGAGGGGCGCGAGGCACGGCCATGGCAGAACCCTCTGGCCCTCCGGGGCCGTCTACGAGGGCGACTACTCCGCCGGGTTCATGGACGGCCAGGGGACCTATGTCGTCGGCGTCGCCGGCCCCTGCACCACCAGCTCCTCTTCATCATCATCATCCTATAACTACAAGGGGCAGTGGAAGCTGGACCGCAAGCACGGCCACGGCCTCCAGACGTACCCCAACGGGGACACATTCGAGGGCTCCTGGGTGCAGGGCCACATGGAGGGCCATGGCTGCAGGTACACCTGGGCCAACGGCAACACCTACGTCGGCACCATGAGGAACGGCACCATGTTCGGCAAAGGGGTGCTCACATGGAGCGCCACCGGGGACTCGTTTCAGGGGAACTGGCTCGACGGCGCCATGCACGGCTACGGGCTCTACACCTGGGAGGACGGCGGGTGCTACCTCGGGACGTGGACCAGGGGACTCAAGGATGGAAAGGGCACATTCTATCCTAAGAAGTGCAGACTTCCTGCCAATCACCAGCTCTACATCGATGATCTGAGGAACAGGGGCGTGCTGCCTGATGACATGTCAACAAATGACACCTCCTCTTCTTCCCTCGATGCGAAGGCCGACACAGATCAAGAGCCTGCTGCTGCACCAGCACATCTTAACAAGTCCTGGAGAAACTTGAGCTTGGAGCGGCCTCCGGTAAAGAAGCCGTCTCTGCAGAGGCGCTGGAGCATCGGAGTGGCCATCGACAAGATCATCGGCGCTCATGAGCCAATAAGTGGTGCAGGTTCTGAAACACAAACACAACAAAACATGGCTGCTTGTTCTAGCCTGCCGATACTGGAAAGGGAGTACGCGCAGGGCGTTCTCATCAGCGAGGTCGTGCTGAACAAGAGCTGCCTGGAAGACTCGTCCAAGAAGCTGAGCCGTCGGCAGAGCAGGGCGGCCAAGGATGTCAAAAGGCCAGGGGAGATGATAATCAAAGGGCACAGGAGCTATGATCTGATGCTCTGTTTACAGCTTGGGATCAGGTAATTATGCATATATATTTCAAGGCATCTGCATAATCTGAATTTTCAACGACCTAACTCCTTGTCTGCATTTTTTGTTCTACTGGTTGTCCCATTCTACTTATATATATGCGGAAGCGGGACAGAGGATTGTGACATACTCCCTCCGTTCGGAATTACTTGTCGTAGAAATGGAGCACCATACATGTCTTGTAGAAATGGAGAACTATCTTTTATATCTAGATGTACATAGCATATAGCAAGTTGCCAACATACCATACCCCCCATATATATATATAAGAGCACCAAACTGGTTCATCTACTTTCATTGACCAAACTAGCTCTGAATTTTCCGAGTCATGGAAAGATGGCGGCTTTTCATGCCCTCATGTTAAAGGTGCCACTATGCTATAGATAGATAGATAGAAACTGGCAGCTAATTCATTGTTCCTTCTTCCTTTTACCGACACCCAACATGAGAGTGTCTTGTTGAATACCTTACTGATTTAGTTTCTTATGGTCAGTAAAAGGTCGTTATATATCTCATGTGATTATATATATATACTACTCACTCAGGTACACGGTTGGGAAGATTACGCCGATTCAGAGGCGTCAAGTGCAAGCCTCTGATTTCGGCCCCAAGGCTAGTTTCTGGATGAACTTCCCCACAAAAGGAACACGGCTTACTCCTGCGCACCGTGCTGTCGATTTTAAGTGGAAGGACTACTGTCCGGTGGTCTTCAGGTTCCTTGTGCTTCTGTCCCAGTTTTACTTTAAGTGGAGTATACTTTATGCTGTTGCAGTCTCTCTGAACCTTCTTCTATGATACTACAGCTTAAGTACAATTTGAATTCTCCGAGAAATACTCAACACTGTTTTCTACATAACAGGACTGACTTCTTGTTAGTGTTTGATATTACAGAAATTTGAGGGAGATGTTCAAGCTTGATACAGCAGATTACATGATTTCCATTTCTGGAAGTGACGCGCTTAGGGAGCTGTCGTCTCCTGGAAAGAGTGGAAGTATGTTTTTCTTATCGCAAGATGACCGCTTCATGATCAAGACTCTTCGCAAATCTGAAGTGCAGGTTTCTGAGTTTTATGATTTTATATGTTGGTTAATTGGTATCTGGTTAACTGACATATATAGACCAGGCACTTTATATAAACTGGTGATTCCTTACCTGGCCTAACACTAACAACATGCTGTCATAAGGAAAATATATATCTGAGCCAGTTTCCTATTTCACTTATTGATTCATATTGAATCAAAGCTGTCCCTTAGTTCATCTGTTTACATCTGCAACTTGGGTTTTTCCTGACATGCATGACATTTGCTTGTAGGTTCTTTTGCGTATGCTTCGAGACTATTACCGCCATGTCCATACTTATGATAACACACTCGTGACTAAATTTTTTGGCCTCCACCGGGTGAAACCTTCCAGCGGGCAAAAGGTAGGTAATGACAGTAAACGACTGGACTGTTGTTGCTCAATTAAAAGGGTTACAGATATTACTGTGAAAAGCTTCAGCCTCAGCCATAAAAAAGGATTTAGTTGTCATATCCGACAATTACTTCTTTTTTGGTTGATATTTAAATAACTGTTGGTTTTATTGTTTGTATCTGCAGTTCAGATTTGTAGTGATGGGCAACATGTTCTGCACACAACTTAGAATCCATCGAAGATTCGATTTGAAAGGTTCATCCTTAGGCAGATCTACTGACAAAGTTAAAATCGACGAGAACACGACGCTCAAAGACCTGGATCTGAACTACTCATTTTATCTCGAGCCTTCTTGGCGGGATGCTTTGCTCAAGTAAGCATCTTCTCCCCGAAAAAAAGCAGCTTATCCTCATGACCAGTTTTCCGTGTGACACCCATACACATGTTCTCTTCTTCTTATTATGTGTAGGCAGATTGAGATCGACAGCGAATTTCTGAAGAATCAGGGCATAATGGACTACAGCTTGCTTCTTGGTTTCCATTACCGGGCTCGCCAAAGCCTTGTAAGAGGAGGGTCATTGCCTGAAAGCATTTTGCAAGATAACAAACTAGCCGTTCTTTCGGAACAAGGTAATTAAGCATGAAAAAGTAGTATCTCCACTCCTCTGAGTAATAAGTTGCCCAATTAACCCATTTGAATTGCTTACTTTTTGCTTGGTGATGTGACGGCGGTAATGCAGATGCCATGGAGGATGATACCGCCTATAACGACTACCGCGAAGGGCTGGTTTTGGTGCAGCGAGGCAGCAACCAAGATGGTAAAGTCGCAGTCGGCCCTCACATAAGAGGGAGCCGCCTGCGATCATCGTCTGCTTGTTACGAGGAAGTGGATCTCCTGCTTCCAGGCACAGCAAGGTTCATCAATCAATTTAATCTGTTACTGTTGGTCAATTCTCATGTTCTTCCAATGCTAATGTATGATGGACTGGAATGACTGAATCTGTTGTCAAATCGGACAGGCTTCAGATCCAGCTAGGGGTGAACATGCCGGCGAGAGCAGAGAAACAAGAGAAAGACGGCGGCAAATCGCTCCGTCAGGTGTACGACGTGGTGCTCTACATAGGGATCATCGACATCCTGCAGGAGTACAGCATGAGGAAGAAGGTGGAGCACGCCTACAAGTCCATCAAATACAACCCCCAGTCGATATCGGTCGTGGAGCCCCGGTTCTACTCGGAGCGCTTCCTCAACTTCATCCGCACCGTCTTCCCAGAAAACTCACCCAACCAATAAATTCATTCATCTTTCCTTCCTTCCTTCCTTGTCCCCAGCAAGAAAAAATGCAACAGAAAGATCCAAGGAAATGTGCTCTGCTTGCTACATTGCTGTCCATGTGTGTGGTTTGAGATGGTTGGAAGCAAAAGCAATGTGTGTATTTTGTCAAAAAGCAGCATTGACAAAACTAGTCATGACTAGCAGTGAGTGCTCCATTATGCATGGATGTGGTTTGGGTTTTCTGCCACCCCACTATACATAGATGTGACACGTGTCTGTTACCCAAACCCATCCATACATCTGTCATCTGCTACTGGCTCTTTTTTGTTGTGATGAACAGGAGCTTAGCTAGTGGGGTTAATTAGGTGAGATGATGACATGAAACCATGACTGATACGATATCTCATATCAATCGTGTCAAATGCCGCCTCGCCTATAAATTGTGTCCATGTCTCGAGCCGATCACAACACCAAAACATAGTCACTCACAATGGCCACCACCAGCAAGCAGGCTCTAGCTCTCGCTGCTCTCCTGATCCTGCTCACCGGCACCCACCTCATTGCCGCCGCAAGAGCCCCGGCCGCTGTAACCGGCATTGGCGTTGGAGGAGGTGGCTACGGTGGAGGAGAAGGCGGTGGAAGCGCTGGTCATGGTTACGGCTACGGTTCAGGCTATGGAGCCGGTCATGGCTATGGCTATGGCGGCAGCATTGGTGGTGGTGGTGGTGGCGGCGGTGGGCATGGGGGTGGCGGCGGTGGAGGTAGTGGCGACATGGGCTCAGGGTACGGTTCTGGTTATGGCAGTGGTTATGGCTCCGGTTACGGTGCTGGCGGTCAAGGTGGTGGGGGAGGTAGTGGAGGAGGAGGCGGTGGATCCGGCTATGGCAGTGGCGGTGGCGGTGGCGGTGGCTATGGGTCTGGGTACGGAGAAGGCTATGGGTCAGGCGGTGGCATGAACGGTGGAGGTGGAGGGGGCGGCGGTGGAGGGGGAGGTGGTGACGGCGGCAGTGGTGGCTTTGGGCATGGAAGCGGTGGAGGCTATGGTTATGGCAGTGGAGGTGGAGGTGGCTACGGTGGCGAGCATGGCCACTGAGCATCATCTATAGCAGTCAGTTGTTACCACTGTTTATAAACAGAAATTAAAGCCGGTAACAGAGAAGAGAAGAATAAACATGGTTGGTGACTAGGCTTGTGTAGATCAGCCATCCTGAGATGCATGCATGCATGTTAATGATTATTGCCACCATACTGTATTGATAAGATGAAATAAAGCTTATTCGGTTTGAATTCTGATTTCTACTTTTCTATCATGCATTGCATACTACTACCACTACATACACACACACACCAGAGAGCTTTTCCACATGCAAGATGACGAGCATACCATCCATGTGTAAGTAGGTTACGCGCCATCTCCAATCCTCATCAAACTTCACCCATTTTTCTTCAAGAAGGTTGGAATTCACCTTCTCCTCTTCCATCCAGAAAATTTTTATCAACCATCGCAGCCCGCTGAAATCCTCAACAAGATCCTCTGCATCACAAATTGCTTCTGATGTCCAAGCGATCATACTTTCCTGTGATCAATTTTACAAACATCCAGCAAAGAGATTTTACAGTTAAATCATTGGCAGACAAAGATTTCAAAAGCATATGTAGAGTACCTGCCACATCCCCCAGCTATGAAGTCAAAGTCAACCTTGGCTGAAATCATAATTCACGCACCACTAACCTGCACATGAAGCTATTTTTTTTAGACAATCAGAGAAGATACCCGATGGCATGCCTTGACAATATGGAGAAAGCTACGGGCATCCAATGCTCACAAGGAACACTAGACTCTTCCCAGGTTCTCACTGTAACTTAGTTTAGTAATGGACAGGCATGAATGAGACAAATGGCACTAACTCTACCAAAATCATGTATATTTTGCATAAACCATCTATGTCTTCGGCGATTGCTTCTGATCATGTATAACAACTTGCTTCTGATGTCCAAGCGATCACACTATATCTTATATGCTCATCGGCAATTGCGAGAGTGAAAGACTTTTGGACAAAGTTGGTATCAGGTGATCTCATGGGTGTATCTAAGATGAAGAAAAAAAAAGTTAAAGAAACGGCAAAACAGATCATATCAGTCTTCAACAATTCACAACAAACCCATGTCACTGGTTAAATGCACATGGACAATAAATATGTGATGAAGCTCCTAGTACCAACTTGTGAACTAAATAAATACAAAGTGACCCAGGTTGCTAGTAAGAAGAGAGCGACTACAGTGGCAAGTGAAATGCTGAATACCAATTAAGTATAAGTCCACCTGTGCAGTTTCTCATTGCCATATTCTACGGTTGATGGACTATATATGTGCAGACATCATAAGCCTTCAATCCCATTGATTGTGCTCCATTATACAGCTTCGCATTGCCATTGAGAGAGTCTTCAAGTAAGCACTGATTTCTACAAGGCCTACCAATGAAGAATGCAGATTGGTGAACTCAGCTGATTTTGGGCCTGAGACCTCATTATTGGAGAAAGAGGCAACTCAACTAAAAATAATACTACATAATACTTTACCCTTCACTCTGGTATAATATTTGTTAGACGAATTGTACGAACATCTTACCTGGTTGTGCTGGCTGTCACCTGACGCCTGAGAAGTGTGACAGGCGACAAAGCCTAGGTCCTGAGAAGGTAACTGCAGGAATAAAATTTCAATAATCATTACACTGCCCAGAAATGTACATCAAGTGTTCAATCCAAAGTGGTCTTAATACCAGAGTGAACCCCAGACTTGCGCCACGGTGCATCTCTTCATAGTTGAGTGTCCCCATGGGATTTGAAAAGTCAGTCCCCTGGATCAAAGAGGAGGAGTAGATAAATAATTAAATTTTCGATACAACATGACCAAAAGAACATAAATTATTTTAGGGAGGCACTTCAGAGATCATATAAATTCATACCATGTAAGGTACATAGGTTGGAGTTTGGCTAACCATTTTGGACATGTTAGGAGGAGCCTCCAAGCCCTGCTTGTTGCAAATGTTAGAATAATGGTTGCACTAAGAGGCACTAACATTCACAGTATGAGATGAAATGAATGCAAAAGGCTAGAAACTGAGATTCTTAAGCCTGGTACACCTAATTTTCATCAAGTACTTAACTACCCCCTCCGTTCCTAAATATAACTCTTTCTAGGATTTCAATACAAGCTACATACGGATGTATATAGACATAGTTTAGAGTGTAGATTCACTCATTTTGTTCCATATGTAGTCCAAAATAGTGAAATGTCTAAACAGACTTATATTTAGGAACAGAGGGAGTATAAATTTATTCAACGGTTGCTCTGCTGAGAATCTTGTAGTATTTTTTAGAGAATCCTAGGACAGCAGAGAACTTCATATAATACGATGCATTTGGCCAATAAATGTTATACATGATGGATCCCAATTAGGCAATTAGTTAACATAACATAAGGCATACATTTCAAATTTGCATGGTTAAAATGGGTACAGATACCTCAACCTCAATGAAGAAAATAGCAAGATTACCTGAAACATGGCATTTCCAGACTGGGCTGAACCATCTGCCAAACCATAATGCACAAGTGCAGGTTCTTCTGAGTGCACTTTCTGCTTCTTTGTCAGACCCTTTTCAACGCAATTTCTTGGATGGTTTTTACTTTTCTGGCCTTTCTTCTTTACTGTTTTTGCCACTGCCCTGCTTGATATGTCCAGAACATTTTCTGATTCAGTGCCATCCGTGATGGAAGACAAGGCCATCTTAAGATTCTGAACATCAGGCTGTAGTGTCACAGGTGCGCTGCTAACGCTGGTTTGTTTCTGCAGGATTTTCTCAACCTTGTCGCCAAGTTCTCCCCAAAATTGGTCTAGTACTCTGCTGGACTCCTCACATTCTGATGCCCGGGCAACAAGCCGAACATACTTGGGGCACAAGTGCTGGTAGCGATTAGAAGAAATCTCGAATGATTCCTCTTCTTGAACGGCTTGCCCAGGAACAGGAACCTCCGGTGAAGAGGAGGTCAAACGCCTTGCATATTTGGTCCAGCGCTTCATGATGTACCTATCTGGTATATACTTTATGTCCATAACATCTAGAATCTTGAGAGCATGGCTGCACAGGAAGCCAACCATCTCAAACTTCCCGCACGAGCATGCGACAGTCTGCTCCATAGGGTTCCCATAAACCGTGTATCGACAGTCCTCCTTCTCCACAAGCGAGACGACATACTCACGACACGGGCCGCTCTCATCACGGCTCACGATGTAAGCTGACTGGAACTCCTCATATTCTTCCTGGAAAAGCTGAAAGATCACGCTGGTATAGACCTCGGAAGCCTGTGTCAGAACAGGAGCTCTGATTTTGAGGTAGGGTATCATCAACCTTGAACCGTATTCCATCTCCAACTCTCTGTGCCGCCTATCGCTGATCACTTTCTGAAGATGCCTCAAAAACAGAGCAATGTCCACCTCTGCTCTCAGATGACTGCGCACCTCGGAACTCAGGCGCTCGTTCAACCGTGTGCCTTCCATTCCAGCCGAGAAGATCCCTTTCGTGTAGGGCCTAGCCCACTTGTGTTTCTCCTCGAACAGCCTCTGCAACCACGCGTTGTCACGAAGCTCGTACTTGCTGATCATAGCATCCCATGCAGCGAGAAATCCTGCCTCCTCGCCATACTCTCCGTCGACGCACGCCTTGAACTCCTCGATGAAACTGGCATCGCCTTTAGAAAGCTGACGTATGTTCCCCTTTGCAACATGCTTTATGTGCCACACGCATATGGCATGGGTCGTCGTCGTGCCAGGCATCGCCAAGGACAGGGCCTCTGCTATTACCGTGTCCTGATGCGAAATGAAGGTCTTGGGTGCTCGCCCAGACATGGCGTGCAGGAACGTCTGGAACAGCCACCGGAACGACTCGCAGGACTCATCGTACATGAGCGCCAGCCCGAAGACGACAGGCTCGCCGAAACTGTTGCAGCCGACGAACGAGGCGAGGTGGCGGAGGCTGATGCTGTTCCTGGACACGACGTCGAAGGCGACGGCGTCGCCAAAGTGGGCGTAGTCGGCGACCATCTTGGCGTCGACCCAGAAGACGTTCGCCACCTTGTCCTCGACGTCGAGCTGCACGGCGTGATGGAACCCCGGGTCGGCCAGTGACTGCCGCTGGAGGTGGTTGAGCAGGGCGGCGGCCTCCCCATACTTGATCTCCCACTGCCGCCTGGTGCGCAGGGGGCCGTCTCCCTCGGCGCATGCCGCCCCGGCTGTAGCATCGTCGTCAATGAAATCCGGCGGCGGAGCGGCATTGGGCGGCGAGTGGAAGGGGCTGGGCGGGCCGCGGGGAGCGGCGAAGAGCGGGTGGTTGTGGCGCGGCTGGAAGGCGGAGACTTGGAAGTTGCCGCCGGGCTTGGTGCGGCGGAGGGTGAGGTGCGCGTTGCAGCCGGTCCTGCCGTCCGGCGCGGGGATGGCCGCGGCGCGGGAGAGCCTGGCGGCGGCACGGGGGAGCTTGGCGGTGCTGGCGATGGCGGCGGCGGGCTTGTGGTCCTTGAAGCCCTCGCGGGAGCAGGCGAACTTGCAGGAGGTGACCTCGCCGGAGGTCTTGCTGCGGTTGGTGTAGCGGCGGCGGACGTTGAAGCCGAGCTTGAAGGCGTAGAGGCGGTAGAGGTCGTACGCCTGCAGCTCCGTGTCGAACTCCATGTCCATCCGCGGCGTGCACTCCTCCGGCCGGGCCGCAATGGCCGCGCCGGTGGAGGCATCTCCGGAGGGTGGGCTTTGGCGGTCCTCCGGGCGGGCGGAGGCGGAGGCGGAGGCGGCGGTTCTGGTGGTCTGCGCGGGGGAGCTTCCGGAGAAGGCGGCCGAGGCATTTGGCTCCGGTGGTGGCGGCGGCGGCGCGTCGGTGGCGATTGGGGATTTAGGTTTTGGCGGGGAGGCGCCGTGAGTGGCTGGGCTCGAGGCTGGTCCTGGTGCGGAGGGGGGGAG